CCTTGTGGCTCATGATTTTTCTCAGCGATTTCAAAGACCCTTCAAATCGTCGGAGGCAAGGTATTCCATGTCCATCAAAATACTCGGGGAATCGCCTCGATTGTTGATCTCTTACCAAGAGAATGGACGCGTTCGTACAACCAAGCCTAGACATACACTTCAATATTTCACAATTCACAATCCCCTCTATATATTAATACAGAAAGCGCTGAGCCTGGGTGGCTGCTTCTGGTGCTTCGCAATTCTATGTGGCAAAATTACATGCTTCGTTATTAGGCTTGGGTAATTTTAATTTAATTCCAAACCAAAAATAATTAGGTTCGGATTACCATAAATATGTTGATTATTTATGGTCATGTTACATATATTAATTGTATTTTAATATCATTCCTTATTATAACTATTGAATTGTATTATATTTTAAAAGTTAATAACTTTTGTATTTTTTATCAGTTTTATATATGTAATATATCAAACTAATCTTCTTTTGATGAGCTTCGATTTAACATCCATATTGTATGTATAAATAAAATAATTTTTATTTATCTTTATAACAATAATAAAATTATTTTTAATATTAATTAGAAAAATAAAATTATTTATCAACTAATATATTTATATTTCAAGTAGTTATATGATATAAATTATAAAAACTAATATAATATAACACATGTAAGTCATAAGTAACACATATCATTCTAAAATATATAGTAATATATTTTTTTTGTATAAAAATAAATTAAAATCAATATAGTTTTCTCATTAATTTTAAAATTTAAGAAAAAAATTTTAACAAGCACCCGTATAATACACGAGTGTTGTAGTAGTATCATTGTATTTCTTAAAACAAATAAATCTATACATACCATAAGTTGTAGCCCTTGTGCCTCTTCCATGTCATCCATTAGTTTAATATATTTTTTATATTTTGTTTTCAATTCAACCCGTGGGCGGTGAGTGAAACAATTAAGACTAATACACAAATTTTACATAATATTGTCAAGTTTTTCTAATTTAGACTTTAGAATTTTATTTCCAAATATGTAGTCCTTTTATCAGTAATATACATTTTTTAAAATTTTATTTAATTTATAGGTAATTGAAAGTTTTATTATCTTGATAACATATTTGAGCATGACTAGTATTTATTTAGAAATAAATATTTACTTGTTAAGTTGATTACTAACTTATTAAGTAATGGGAGATTCTACGGTCTCATTATCGAACCATTTCGTCGGGGTTTATAACTATTAGATCAACGGTTACACGATGATCTAACGGTTACAAATTCCAACAGAATGGTTCTGTAATGGGACTATAGCATTTTCCTTAAGTAATATGTGAGACATAATTTGTCAAACCGGGGGCATAACGAGTGCGGTCCCACACAAGTGAAGCGCACAATAAGAGGGTTAGCCCAAATGAAGCCCAAGTGAGGTTCCATCCCAAAACCAATTGATAGTAGGAGGAGTATCCCACTAGTCTTATAAGTTAAGCCTATTTACCCTATCAAATCAATGTGGGACAACTCACAAGTGACATTCCAACACGCCCCCTCACTTGTGAGTCCTTCATCAGCTCACGCCTCCAACTAGGCCGGGTATATTTTTTAGCCCACGCCTACAACCAGGCCGGGTATAATTTTCAGCCCACGCCTACAACCAGGCCGGGTAGCTTTTTTTTTTTCATAGCAGGTCCCAAATTAGGCCTGCTCTGATACCATGTCAAACCGGGGGCATAACGAGTGCGGTCCCACACAAGTGAAGCGCACAATAAGAGGGTTAGCCCAAATGAAGCTCAAGTGAGGTTCCATCCCAAAACCAATTGGTAGTAGGAGGAGTAGCCCATTAGGCTTATAAGTTAGGCCTATTTACCCTATCAAATCAATGTGGGACAACTCACAAGTGACATTCCAACATAATTATATTTTTTTGCTCCTCAATTTTGTATTATTAGTTAAGAAAAATACATTCATTATATTATTGGTATAATACCATAATATAAAATAAATTAACTAAAAAAAGCCGAAATTTTGACATACATTGCAAGTATTTTGGGAGAGCCTAAGGGCATCTTTAGCAATCATTTTTTATAAACCTCCATAAACCTCACTTTTACACTTCCCAATATGCCACATCATCCAAAACTTCATCCTTACTCCTATATCTATAAACTTCCAATAACAATAAACCCCATAAACCCCATTTTCTATGGGTCCCGCGTGTTTCCCACTTACTTTTAATTAATATTATACTATTATATTTTATTAATATTTTAAAATTATAACTCTACTTTTTATTCTTATTAAATGTAAATATTTCATATATTTATCATAAATACATCTACAAAATAATATAAATATATTTTTTGTCACAATATTAAAATTTTTATTAAAAAAATAATAAAACTATATCAAAATACCCTTCATAGAAAAAAAAAAACTTGAATACATATATATATATATAAATATAACACAAAGTGGCATGCTTGAAGTGTACTTGGAGTAAAGAAACAAAAAAAATAAAAAAAATGAAAAAATAGGCCCACAAATGAGGTCTGTTGGAGGTTTTGATTTGTAAACCGGTAGTGGAAATTTAAACCTTAAACCTTATCACTTTAATAACAAAAGTTGAGGAGTGGATTTGTAAACCTCGTGAAAACCTTATCGCTAAAGATGCTCTAACAAACCCATTAAACTTATTAAGGTAAACGTGTAAAATTAACGTTAAAGAATGAAAATTGTGGTGGCCGTAGAAAAATTAAAAATATTCTTTATTTTCTTAAGTTATCCTTTCTCTCTCCTAATTTCTAGTTACCAATAATGAGTACTAATAGGGATAGATTAAAAGAAAATAATAATAAAAA